GGTTCTCAACATATGAAACTGTTTCTAAAGGCCCTGTGATAATGAAAAATAATTCACCATGTAATAAAGCTGATATTGGAAAGGTCAAAATTAAGATGTTTGATAGGAATATCAAGACACTTGGTGGTGTGAGACATGTTCCATCGAAGAGACATACTATCACCTTGAGTACTCTTAAATTCAAAAAGGTACAAGTATACTGAAGAATGTGGAGTTCTAAACATTAGCAAAGATACCTATGTTGTGATGGAGAGGCACAGAAGGTCCCAATTATATGTCTTGCATGGTTCAACAAAATCTATTGACACAAATCAATAGAAATTAAGCATTCAGGTGGAGTTTGAGATTGGTTCAGTACAATTGGAGTTTGATTCGAGGTCTACATTATAGAATACATCTTAGTCTAGTTCAGAAATTTAAGGGTAATGTTTTTTTGCCGCTACCACCAGCGGTGCCACAATAGTCTATTATTAAAAACATACTCGGAAGAGTTATTAGGCCTTCTCAGAGATACGACGTGGCTAAATTGGTTGCTTAGCTTTGAATGCAACTGAATTTGAACTAGGCTTGGACTTGGTTGGTAATTATTGTTTCGTGGAAGATGTGGAGAGTTTTGTTACAGAATTTTTGGATTTTGTGTCAAATTGTAAATTTGTTAGAATTTGGGTGTGATTGAATTCTATTAGGTTTTCTATTAGGGGTCCCATTGGGAGTTGATTGTATGTCTTGAAGAATTCTTTAAGAAGTCAAAGACTTGAGCAAGGAGATGATTCGTATTAAGACCACTCGTTGATTGCTTATCGAGCGCTCGAGCAGAATTTTCAGTAACATCATCGTCTCTAGCCACAAGACAACCGCTCGAACGGTCGTGTTATTTGGTGCAATTAAATTTCACAATTTTTTCTCTACTGTCCAATATCAAATACTCCATTATTGGTTATGTTTATTATATTAGGACTCTACCTTATATTAGACTCTTCATTATATATATGAGGAGTAAACCTCTTGAAAAAATCATCCTACACAATTTGTGTTCTTTTTATACAGAATGAACCAAATAGATAAGTAGAAAAACTCAAATAAAAATTAAACAACCCTTAATGTTAACAAAACTGAGTATATATATATATATAT